TCACCACGTATGCAGTAACTTTCTAAGGGTTCTGCTCCAGCTGCCTCCCCCAAGCCATTCTCCATACAATAATCAAAGTCATTTCTTTTTATTGTAAATCTGATAATGTTCACTGACTCCTCCTCCACCCACCCTAAAACTAACTCTTCAGTGGCTTTACACTGGTCCTTGAAAAATCCTGACCAAAGCCTACAAGGACTTTAAGTTCCCGAAGGAACTGATCTGTTTTTGCTCATCATTATACCTTGGTGCCTAGCGCAGAACCTGGCACAGAGCCGGCACACAAATAATTTGCTAAGTAAATGATTTTACATTTTAATGTGGCTGAGTGTATAGCATCCATTTTTAAGAACAAGTCTTGGCAAGAATGAACTAGGGGAAGAGTGATAACATAATTCCAGGGACTTGAGAGGGGAGTAAGACCGGGGAGTACTTGAGAGGTCAAGACAGAACCCCAAAGGAAACTTATCTCCTTCACAACTTTGCCTAGAGCCTAGCCCTGTTTCCACGTATCTTCTGAACTGTTTTTGCCCGATACTCTTGATGGCCAAACTAAGATGCTGCAAGAGTCTGAAATCCCACTCCTGCCCACCCCCCAAAAAAAATTGTCACTACCTAGTCAGTTCTGACTCATTGCAGCCCGCTGTGTGTCAGAGTAGAACTGTGCTCCGTAGGGTTTTCTTGGCTGTAATCTTTACGGAAGCAGATCGCCAGGTCTTTCTCCACAGCTCCGTTGAGTGGCTTCAAACTGCCTACTTCTAAGCATCTACCGTGTGGATACCCTGGTGCTGTAATGGTTAAGAGCTACAGTTGCTAATCAAAAGGTCGACAGTTTAAATCCACCAGGCACTCTATGGAAACCCTATGGAGCAGTTCTACTCGGTCCTATGAGTTGGAATCAACTCGGCGGCAGTGAGTTTTTAACCTTTAGTAATGGAGCCCAAACTGTGTCACTCACGGAGCTAGGAAGAATCTGCAAAATCAAACCAAACCCACTGCCATCGAGTCGATTGCAACTCATAGCGACCCTATAGGACAGAGTAGAACTGCCCCATAGGGTTTCCAAGGCTGTAGTCTTTACAGAAGGAGACTGCTGCATCTTTCTCCCACAGAGATGCTGGTGGGTTCAGACTGCTGACCTTCTGGTTCACAGCCGAGCACTTAACCATTGCACCACAGTGCCTTCTAAATTGCCAATGAAAGTCTAAAGCAGGTTCAACTCGCTTACCATTTTGAGGATATTTTACTATAGCCTAGTTCCTTGAAAATGTTGATCCAGTTTTATCACGCATAGTTCAGTCACTAATGTATACCTCCCAGCTGTGAGTGCTGTAAGAACGTGGTCTGTTGGTGCCTGGCCCTCAACGGGGCCTTTAGCCAACGTTGGATAGATTGGTGGATGAAGGAAGAAAAGGAAAAGTTAGGATGCTTAGAACTTGATCGCATCCAGGGCTCTCAAACTCAGAAGTCCACAGGGACCGGGAGTGACTGGAAAGGAGGGAAGCAGGAGGGACGTAAGTGCACTCACGTGTATTATTTGAGTGAGTGCTGGGGACTGGGCTAACTGGAGAACACATCTAAAGGCTTTCAGGTTCAAGTGGTAAGAAAACTGGAGAGTCAAGCTAAGCGCACCAAATATCACTTTGCCGCTACTGACTAGTAGGGTTTGGTGGCTGTGGTAGGCAGAATACTGGCCCCCACAGAGATGTCCACAGGCCCTAATCCCCTTAGCCTGTGAATATGTAACTTTACATGAGAAAAGGGACTTTGCAGATGTGATTAAGGACCTTGAGATAGGGAAATTATCCTGGATTATCTTGGTGGGCCCAATGTAATCACAAGAGTCCTTCTAAGAGGGAGGCAGGAAGGTCAAAGCCAGAGACCTAATAGTACTGCCCCCAAAATCCTAGCTTCGTTTGAAGCCTAGGTATTCTGTGCATCCTTGGAAAAGAAAGAATTCTTGGAAAAGAGAAGTGAACCTCCAAAAAGATCAGTCTAAGTGGACTAAGTAAGCTGCATTCCAGCCCTGTGACACACACTTGCTCAGTCATGGAATGTCGAGTTTCCTCCTGCAGTGTGAGAGCCTGATTTTAGAAAGGACTTAGAGACCACTAGGAGCTCTGGTGGCGCACTGGTTAAGAGCTGCTAACCAAGCAAAAGGTCAGCAGTTGAAATCCACCAGCTGCTCCTTGGAATCCCCATGGGGCAGTTCTACTCGCCTTGGAATCTCTATGGGGCAGTTCTACTCTGTCCTATGGGGTCTCTATGAGTCGGGATCGACTCAATGGCAACGGGTTTGGGTGTCCTTGTTTGTTTGTTTGTTTTAGAGGCCACTGAGTCCAAACTGAGACCTGCCAATATTGTGAATTTCCAAATACCCAGGTGGCCCTTGCCAATGGAGATGTCATTCCTTAAGGGGCTGTTGAGGAGAAAATGAATAATACATGTGAAAATGTTCTTATAAACTTAAAAGCACGTTGGAATACAAATTCCAGCAGTTTCCAGGGTGCTGTGGATGTTGCAGACCAGTGTCTGACCAAAAATCTTTTCTCTGGCGTTGAAGCCCCTTCCCAATCTTCAGCATGAGTGGCGGTAATACTAGGGTATCACAGAGTCACTTATTTGCTTCCCAAGGGTAATAAAGACTAATACAAATTGTAATGCAGATTGAATTTAAAATACATACACTTGGCAACTCCGTGAACTTTATATTTTCACTCTAGGTTCTCTTCAGATTCCATGATGTAAACATCTTGCCAACAATAGACAAATAGTTGCTGACATTTGGGGAGGGGCCACAGCTTCTCCTAGGAGATCACTCCTTTCTAACACTGAGGTCCACATGGAGGACTCTGAGAAGCCTAAAATTTCTTCCAGAATTTTCTCATTGCACACATACCTCATCTCAATGGGTGAAGCAGACTTCTGTCATCACACACATACCTCATCTCAATGGGCGAAGCAGAATGCTGGAAATTGCGTGATTACTAAATAATTAACCAAAACCAAACCCAACCAGTTGCCGTCGATTCTCTTGTGACTCGTGGTTTCCCCACGTGTGCAGAGTACAACTGTGCTTTATGGATTTTTTTCAAGCTTATGACCTTTCAGAAGCAGATTGCCAGGCCTTTCTTTCAAGGTGCCTCTGGGTGGATTGGAACCACCTTTCAGGTAGTAATCGAGCACTTAACCAGTTACGTGACCCAGGGACTCTTAAATAATTACCAAGGGCTTCCAAAAAAAAAAAGTATATAAATGTCTGTGTTGTTGCTCGGGCCCATTGTGTCTGTGTTGCTCTTTCCTGGAACTTTATATGGACATACAACTGTGTCTTTCTTCCTTCAACTCCATTCACAAGCTCTTCTTCTGTGGCTCAGAGTCTGCCCGCTGTCTGCCCCCCACCACGCCGCATGGCATCTTAGCAATTCCTGCCCTTGCTGTGATGTTTCCTTTGCTATGGCTAAATGACATACCCAGCAACAGGAGTGTCATTTTTTCTCTTTTTTTATTGTTGTAGTTTAAATGAAGTTTACATTTCAAGTTGGTCTCCCATACAAAAATTTATACATACATTGTTATATGACCCTAATTGCTCTCCCCTTACTGTGACAGCACACTGCTCCTTTACACCCCTGATTCCCCATGTCCCTTCAACCAGCTCCTAACCCTCTCTGCCTTCCCATCTCACCCACGAACAGAAGCTGCCCGTTTAGTCTCTTGTATCTACTTGATCAAAGAGGCACACTCCTCACGAGTTCACTTTATGTCCCACAGTCCAGTCCAATCCCTGTCTGAAGAGTTGGCCTCAGAAATTGTTTTAGTTCTGGGCTGATAGAGAATCCAGGGGCCAT